TAAGTGTGTGGGGAAGTGGTACTTTGTCTCCATCCAGGGTTTTGAGAGTTTCTACTCCCACCTGGACACTAACTGTCTTGGGGTAACTGCAGCAAGTGACAATGCATGACAGAGAATTTAAAAACCTATGCCTAACGACAGAGAGCCCAAAAAGAGGACTTGATGGTGAGGAATATTTATACCTTCTCTTCCCTGCAGATTTACATTGCAAACCAACAGGCATTGCTCTATAAATACAACTTTAATTGGGCAGCCATGTCTAAGTTTGCAGACAAATTTCCAGAAGCCTTCAGGGAAGAATTTAAGGTGTTCATTGCAGAAGGCTGTTTGGTAACCAAAACTACATTACAGTCGGCTCTGGCTGTGGTGGTTGCTTTGGCCAGAATTATGGCATCAGCGGTGACTCTGAGGGCCTCACTGCTGCAGAATTCAGGCATTACACCCTGAATGTGTGCAGCAGACTATTGAGGACTTACCTTATGGTTGGGTATTGTTTTTGGAAAAGACAAAGGAAACCTTGGATTTTTTTTTTTTAATAATTCCCAAGCTATTTTGTGTTCCTTGGGAGTTTATACTCTGGCTTTAGAGACACTGCTATAGCAGTCAGCTGTAACAATGGCAATGCCACTCGCAGCATTTCTTCAGGCAGCCTCTTGTAAGGCAGCGGCACTACCCCAGAAAGGGGCATAGATCCCCGAGACGAAGGACCTCTGGTTCCAGATTTTAGCCAGCCAGCTCCTCCTCCCTCAGCATCCAGCAAGTATCCATCTTGACTTGTGTGTCCAGGGTAGTGAACTGGTGGTGACCTCTCCATCCCTGTTTGGCTACAGGTTGGCTCATTTTTACAGTGTTTGGGACTCAATTACCATGGACAGCTGGATCCTAAGCACCGTCAGATTGAGTTATGTCATACAGTTCTCTCCATCCCTCCTCCCCACTCCTGTACCCTGTCCCTCTTCAGGGACACCTCTAACTAGACGCTGCTCCTCTAGCAAGTTCAGTCTCTAATGGCTCTGGGGGCTGTAGAGGAAGTTTTCCTGCAGCATTGGGGACAGGGATTCTATTCCCAGTATTTCTTGGTTCCCAAATCGAAGGGCGGGCACAACCTCAACAAATACACCAGATTCAGGGGATTCCAGATGGTCACCCTATGAACTGACCTCCCCTCATGAAATCACATAAGAATGGCCATACTGGGTCAGACCAATGGTCCATCTAGTCCAGTATTCAGGCTTCCAACAATGGCCAGCGCCAGATGTCAGAGGTTTGCAGACCGGTTTGCTGCCCTGGATCTTCAGGGCACTTATTTCTACATCGCAATTCTCCCAAGCCACAGACGTTTTCTCCAGTTTGTTGTGACGGACTGGCACTATCAATACACCATGCTTCCTCTTAGTCTGTCTTCTGCTCCCTGAGTTTTTAACATATGCATGATTGTAGTGACAGCATACCTCAGGAAGAGGGGAATTTCATATCTTCTTATGAGTGGTTACTGAGGGGAAGTCCAGAGAAGCAGACTTCTTTCATGTTCAGTTCACACTATGCTTATTTGACTTGTCTACGTCTTATCCTAAACAGTGGTCCCAACTCAAAGAACTGAGTTAATTGGGGCCCTAATAGACTGTACAAGTTTGAGAATGTTTCTGCTGACTGACCAATTGCACGCGATTTGCCACCTATGTTTGGAACTACAGTCTCAGCCCTCAACCACAGCCTGAGTATGCCTGAGATTGATAGGCCATATGGCTGCATGCACAAAGGTACTCTAGTTTGCCAGATTGTGCCTTTGTCCTCTTCCCAAGTGGCTGAAGTTGGTCTCAGATCGTTATCCCTTGGACAGACTGGTCCTCTTTCCTCTGCCAGTCTGGGACTACTTACGGTGGTGGATGGTTTCAGGGCAATGTGTGCCAGGGTGTTCGCTTTGCTTAGTCCCCACCAACCAGGACTATTGTCACCAATGCCTCCTTAATAGGTTACAGATCACACCTGGGCTCACTAAAAGTTCAAGACCTGTGGTTGGAACTGGAAGCTTTTTTGCATATCAGTATTCTGGAGTTCCATGCCATCTACAATGCCAGTAAGGCCTTTCCATATCTTATCAGGGACTCAGCAGTGCACATCCTTAATGAAAATACCACTGATGTATTATGGGAACAGATAGGGCGCATACTCCAATATTCAGTGTCGCGAGGTAATCCGACTTTGGAAGGTTTGCATTGGGGAAAGTGTTATCCCTCTGGCCAATCTCCTACAAGGGATCCAGAATCATCTGGTGGATCACCTCAGCAGAAATTTCTCCCCAAATCATGAATGGTCTCTGAAGCCCGGTATCATTTGGTCCGTCTTTGTGGTGTGGAGCATTTTAATGATAGACCTGTTTGCCACAGGAGACAGAAGAAGTGCTGTATGTTTTGCTCTCGAAGGTGTCTCAATCTGGGCTCCCTGACAATGCTTCTCACCGGAGCTGCGAATCAGCACTCTTGCATGCCTTTGTTCCAATTGCAATCATCTGACATGTCATCATTCTCAAGCTGAAATGGGATTGTGCCACACTCATTCTCTTTGCTCCAATGTGGCCAAGACCGCGTTGGTCCTTTGACGTTCTTGCATTGTTGATTTGTCTTCCCATATCTCTCCTTCTTCATCCCAAGCTCATGACTCTGCATCATGGTCAGATTTTGCATCCAGTGCTCAGCTCCCCTGCATCTCATAGAGTGGATGCTGCATGGTTGGAGGACGAGGAGGAAGAACAATGTTTGGAGGTGGTCCGGCAAATCTTTCTTAATAGTAGAAAGCCCTCCTCTAGAGCAGCCTATTTGACCAAATGGAAGTGTTTCTCAATGTGGTCTTTAGGCCAAAGAATTCAACCAGCGATCACTTGTATCCAGGATGTCATGGGTTGTCTGTTACACCTACAGTCTTCTGGTCCTGCACTCAGTTGAGAGTGCACCTGGCGGTAATTTTGGCATTCCATCCGTCCGTCCATCCGTGTTTCCGAGCTCCGTGGTAGTGAGGCTCTGGAAAGGAGTCACTCTTCTCTACCACTGGTGGAAGAACTGGTTCCCTTGTGGGTTCTTAATATGGTCTGAGCAGTTCTTATCAGACATCCATTTGAGCTTCTGGCAACTTTTCTCCCTTCTGTGTCAGAAAATTGCTCTCCTTGTGGCAATAACATGCAAGGAGTGTGTGTGTAAGTTGCAGGCTTTGATGGCAAAGCCTCCTTACACACACTCTTCCAAAGACAAAGTAACCGTGCAGTCTCACCCTAAGTTTTTATCTAAAGTGGCATCTCAGTTTCATTTGAACCAAGTTATGTATCTGTTGGTGTTTGTTCTTAAGCCACATTCAACCCCAGATGAGTAGCATCCTCACATGTTGGATGTCAAGCGATGTTTGGCTTTTTACCTAGGTGGGGCTCAATCTTCCTGTTCTTCATCTCATCTGTTTCAGATGCAGAAAAAATGAAAGGGCAAGCAGCCTCTTCAGACAATCTCGAGGTGGATAACTTCCAATATCATGACCGCATACAAAGTAGCATCCAGACTGCACCTAATCAGTGGGTGCAAGCTCATTCTGCGAGGGCCCTGGCAGTGTTGATCACATTTCTAAAAGATGTTCCTATATTGGACATTTGCAGGGCTGCCACTTGGTCCTAGGTACATTTGTTTTCAACCACTATGCTATTACTACTGCATCCAGATCAGATGCAAACTTTGGGAAGGCAATCCTGCAGTCCTTGTTTAAATACACTCTCTGAATTCCACCTCCTGAGAGTACAGCTTGAGTCACCTACATGGAATACAGGGCTGAATCTACTCAAATTAAAAACAGTTACTTACCCTTATTCCATCTATTGGTCTTCAAGATGCAATGCACATATGTATTCCACAACCCACCCTCCATCCCCTTTGCCTCAGAGTCTGTAGCTCTTGACGTTTAATGCAAAGAAAGTGAGGGGGATCAGGGCGGTGTTGCCCTTATATAGCCAGGGAGGGGTTAGGGCCACAGGGCATGAATGCTGCCCCTATGAGTACTGCTAGACAAAGTTCTCTGGCTTTGGTGCGCTGGGTGCACACACACCTATGTGGAATATATGTCTGCATCACCTCTTGAACAACAGTTACTATACAGGTAAAAAGAAAAGGAGTACTTGTGGCACCTTAGAGACTAACCAATTTATTTGAGCATGAGCTTTCGTGAGCCACAGCTCACTTCATCTGATGAAGTGAGCTGTGGCTCACGAAAGCTCATGCTCAAATAAATTGGTTAGTCTCTAAGGTGCCACAAGTACTCCTTTTCTTTTTGCGAATACAGACTAACACGGCTGTTCCTCTGAAACCTATACAGGTAAATACGTTTTCCCCTTAAAACGTGTAATAAATATGTTGAGCCAGATACTAGCTTGAGTTGATCCTCTAAGAATTCACAAAACACTCTTCAGGAGAAGAAGGATAGGGCAGAAACTATTCACCCTGAATTTCCCTTTTAAACTAGTATACAGTGTGTCTTCACGTGCCCTCTATAGCCACAGCTATTGAAAAACATTCCAGAGCAAAGCTCAAGCATAAGGAGTATAACCATATTTTTAAGACTAGAAAAGCTCAGCCCTGTATATGTCCCTGCCAGTGCAGATTAGTTCCATTTGGAATTCTCTGCAGAGGGTTCTTTGTTTATAGCACAGGACATTACCTTAAAATAATGCTGGATTTCTTTGGTTAATGTATGCGTGTTTGTTTATAAACACAATTAAGCCTAAAGCCAGATTTTGGCCTGATGCTGAAGAGTTAATGTACATTAAATCTGAGATTTATGAATTTGTCAAATGTACACATTAATATCTATCCTTGCAGTGAATATATGCTGAAGATAAAGGAAATAGAAATAGGGTACTAACGCCTTTTATATATGCTGGGTTTTTTATATGAAAACATGACTCTCATAGTTTAAACCACTTCAGCACAATTTTATTTACAAATTGATTTTTTTTTTTTCTTTTTTAGAGGTGTGCTCCTGCATCAATTCGCCTTGTGGACAATGCACAATTTCAGTTTGGTAAGTTCACAAATATTGTGTCCAAAATTAGTATTTATATTCTATTTTTAGAGTGCCTTGTCTGAAGTGACATATCCAGGCTTAAAATCCAGACTGCTTGTCTGTGTCTTATTTCTAGTTTGAATCGTTTTGCCTTTTAGGAAATGTGACTATTATAGTAGGCTACTCTTCCTACTCCTTGCTATCAAATAATGGAGTTTATCCTTTGTCTTAAGCAGTAGAAGTTTATGCTTTGGTGCTAAAAGTCTAGGTTCAAATCTTTTTGATGGACTTCTTCTGGGAGTCCTTATAGAAATGCATCAGTGTGTGTTCTGAAAATAATTCCTACAAAATTTCACATAGCTACTGTAGCTAGTGGACAACTTTAGAGTACAGTGCTTGTAACAGTAACAGTTCATAAAGCTTATTGACTAATGAAATGAACAAGTTGCATATTCTATGCAGTATATCAACATGTGCTTTTATTTTATGGTGACTGATACCCTTTGGAAGTAAAGGGGCAATGTGTATGAAAGTGAGATTGATGATAATGTCTAGAGCTGACTATAGTGCAGGGAAGCCGCATGGTCCATGAACTTCTGCCAGTGCATCTCAGTCCTGATTGTGTAATGCACTCAGGGCAGGTCTACACTACAGGGTTAAGTTGACCTAAGTTATGCAACTCCTGCTACGTGAATAACGTAGCTGGAGTCGACTTAGCTTAGGTCGACTTTTTGCGGTGTCTACGAGTTTCTCCCACCGACTTACCTTAAGCTTTTTGTTCCGGTGGAGTACTAGAGTTGACAGGAGAATGATCTGCGCTTTCTTTAGCGGGTCTTCAATAGACACGCTAAATCGACCCCAATGGTGGATCGATCGCCTCAGCGTTGATTCACAGTAAGTGTAGACGTTCCCTCAGTATTAAAGCGATACTTAATGGTATTTTGTGGGTGTCTGATAGGTAAAACATGCTATTGGGATTATATATTCAAATGATTTGGGGTCCAGTTCTTCTCTCTGGTATGCATTGTGTAATGGGAGTTGCGTGTGTGAATCTTAAGGTAAAACTTTTGGCTTTATTTTAACACATTTTGATTTTAAAAAAATCTTCAAAACTGATGTGGAATCCCCTTTTGAATGTATCATAGAATCATAAGACTCGCAGGGACCTCGAGAGGTCATCTAGTCCAGTCCCCTGCATTCATGGCAGGACTAAGTATTATCTAGAGTAGACCATCCCTGTCAGGTATTTATCTAACCTGCTCTGAAAAATCTCCAGTGATGGAGATTCCACAGCCTCCCTAGGCAATTCATTCTGGTGCTTAACCACCCTGATAGTTTTTCCTAATGTCCAACCTAAACCTCCCTTGCTGCAATTTAAGCCCATTGCTTCTTGTCCTATCCTCGGAGGTTGAGGTTAACAACAATTCTCCCTCCTTCTTGTAACAACTGTGGCAAAATACCTTGTTCGCCTCAGTAGGCTCAGTCCTTTTTAGCCTTGGAGACTCAGGTTTGGGGCAAGACGAATCCTTATAGGTGGCACAGGGTCCTGCTACTCCTCTCCTCAGTCAGTCCCTTGTGCTTGTTTTCCTTCCCTTCTGGGGAGCGAGTGCAGCTTCGCTACTGGGAAGGCTTGGTGTCTTGCTGCAAACAGCCTACTGGCAGCTTCCCTGCTCCTCTCGCTCCCTCACTCTCTCCCTCCTTCCACTCAGGGGAGGATTTAAAAAGTTCCCACGCAGTTGGAGTCAGCTGAACCTAATTGGTTCCCTAGCAACCCCTTTTCCAGCTGAACCTTATTGCCCAGTGGTTATTACTCCTCAATGGATAGGGAGGGGCCTTTTAATCCCCTGGGACTAATTACTACCCTCCCCTCCCCCGTAGCTGTTAGTCCTGGGTTTACCACACAACCTTTTATATACTTGAAAACTTATCACGTCCCCTCTGTCTTCTCTTTTCCAGACTAAACAAACCCAATTTTTTCAATCTTCCATCATAGGTCATGTTTTCTACACCTCTAATCATTTTTGTTGCTCTTCTCTGGACTTTCTCCAATTTGTCTACATCTTTCCTGAAGTGTGGTGCTCAGAAGCTACATAAGCTAACAATGTTATTCTCCACAGGCAAGAAACATTAAAGTGTTAGTATAGGATTGGTCCTGCTGCCCCGTACTATTAATGTAAATTTAAATTTGGGGTGTAATTAAATGATAGGCAGCATTAGTTTAAGAATAAGGAAAAGATCATCATTACTGTTGCTTGGTCCACAAAGCTGTCAACAGCACTTTCCTAGTAAGTTATGCGCTAAGGAATATAGTCGTAATTCAGTGTATAGGGACATGTGCACATAACTACAGTCAGTTTTAATCGTATATAAATCTATGGGTGTCATAAATATAAAGGGAAGGGTAAACACCTTTAAAATCCCTCCTGGCCAGAGGAAAAAGCCTTTCACCTGTAAAGGGTTAAGAAGCTAGGATAAACTTGATGGTACCTGACCAAAATGACCAATGAGGAGACTAGATACTTTCAAAGCTGGAGGGGGGAAAAACAAAGGTTCTCTCGGTCTGTGTGATGCTTTTGCCGGGATCAGAAAAGGAATGGAGTCTTAGAACTTAGTAAGTAATCTAGCTAGATATGCGTTTGATTCTGTTTTGTTTAAAAGGTTGATAAAATAAGTTGTGCTGAATGGAATGTATATTCCTGTTTTTGTGTCTTTTTGTAACTTAAGGTTTTGCGTAGAGGGATTCTCTATGTTTTGAATTTGATTACCCTGTAAGGTATTTACCATCCTTTTAACAGAGGTGATTTTACAGAGGTGATTTTTTTACTTTTTCTTCAATTAAAATTCTTCTTTTAAGAACCTGATTGCTTTTTCATTGTTCTTAAGATCCAAGGGTTTGGGTCTGTGTTCACCTATGCAAATTGGTGAGGATTTTTATCAAGCCTTCCCCAGGAAAGGGGGTGTAGGGTTTGGGAGGATTTTGGGGGGAAAGACATTTCCAAGCAGGCTCTTTCCCTGTTCTATATTTGTTAGACGCTTGGTGGTGGCAGCAATAAGGTCCCAGGGCAAAAGGTAAAATAGTTTGTACCTTGGGGAAGTTTTAACTTAAGCTGGTAAAAATAAGCTTAGGGGGTTTTTCATGCAGGTCCCCACATCTGTACCCTAGAGTTCAGAGTGGGGAAGGAACCTTGACATGGTGTCAGAGCGGTGGGATTAACTTGAAATCATTTTGAGATTTTTTTTGAACCAGAAGCACAGATGTTTTTAAAAGGAAATATTTTTTTTCCTTTGGGCTCTGGAAAGCAGGTTTTAAGCTGAAAGCAGTTAGAGGTTTTTTTGTCTCTGCTTGGGGGCCAGAGCAGAGACAAAAGGTAATTGTCTTTTGTGAGCTGGAGTTTTCTCTATCTAAAGGCAGGGTGGTTAACCTCCTGCAGGGAAATTCACAAGTCTTCACAGACCTGAAGTTGTTTTTTACCTAAGAGCAACTAGAGGGGTTTTCTGTCTATTTGCCTGGAGACAAAGGTGTTAGGTTTTTTTTGTTTTTTTTTTTAAAGGATTTTTCTGTAGGCTGACAATCACTATCAGAGAACATATATATCCGGTACAGCACAACCTATTTTTGTTTTGAGAAGCCAAGTTTTTTTGTTTGTTTGTTTTAGTTCTAACTCTCGGGTGTAAAGTTAGTTAAAAACAGAGAGACAAACATGACAGAGCCCAAGGCAGAAACAGCCAAAGAGGCTGCCCACAGGAGAGAACTGGAGGCAGTGAGAGAGACAGAAAAACAACAAGAGGCTGCTCACAGGAGAGCTATGGAGGAAAAGGAAAAAGAGAGGAAGAAGGCACTGGAGATGGAGAAGGCAAAGGCTGAGTGGAATCTACTGGATAACCCTAACCATCCTTCCCCAACAGTCCACAAATGGGAGCAACTGTGTCCACAGTATGATAAATCCAGTGATATTGCTGAATATTTTCTCACCTTTGAGAGACTGTGCACTCTCCATAAAATTCCTGAAGCTCACAAGATGACCACATTGGTTGCAAAATTGACTGGAAGAGCTCTGGACATATTCAATAAGATGCCTATTGATGAGTCTTCTGACTATAATCAGTTCAAGGATTTGGTTTTAAAGCAATTTCAAATTACATCTGAAACGTACAGAGTAAAATTTCAAACCCTTAAGAGAGGCCCTGGACTAAGTAATGTGGCTTATCTAAACCAGATGAAGGATCTTTTAGATAAATGGGTCCAAGGAAGGGGTGTCACTAGTTTTGACGGAAAGTGTGATTTGATAGCTCAGGAGCAATTCCTGAATATGTCCATGGAGAAAATAAAACAGTGTTTATGGGATAAGGAAATGGACTCAGCAGAAAGTCTTGCTGCTTATGCTGATCGATACGAGCAGTCCCAGACGGCCAGAGAGGTGGGGCAAGCGGGAACAAAATGGGTGGAGGGAGGAGAGAGGAACAACCCTGGTCGCAGTTGGAGCGGATACCAGAAGGGACACCCTCAGACCACCCCCTACTACCGGGGGCAGCCCAAGGCCCCAACTACACAACAAGGAATGCTCCAGACACCTTATCGTCCTGCCACACTGTTCTCCAGCAACCCACCTCGCCCCAGTGACCCATCAGCTGGACGATGTTTTAAATGTAATGAGCCGGGGCATGTGAAGGCCAACTGCCCCAAGAACCCCAACAGATTACAGTTCATTGCACCAGAATCATACCAGAGGTCCTCAGGCCCAGATACCTCCCAGACACCCTCAGAGTGGAGGGAAACTGTGAGTGTGGGCGGGCAGAAGGTCACCGCATGGAGGGACACCGGAGCACAGGTGTCGGCTATCCATGCTTCCTTAGTGGACCCCAATTTAATCGACCCACAGATGCAAGTGACAATTCAGCCCTTCAAGTCCAACTCTTTCAATTTGCCTACAGCCAAGTTGCCTGTCCAGTACAAGGGTTGGTCAGGATCGTGGACTTTTGCAATCTATGATGATTATCCCATCCCCATGCTGTTGGAG